AGTCCCAGAGCCAGGGTGTGACAGTAAGCATGTGTGACTAGGTGTTGAATATATGTACACAGGAGACAACCACCTTACCTTAGGTCCAGGGCCAGCTCCTTCTTCACCTCTTGGTCAGCCAGTACAAGCGGATTATTATTTGTTCAGATGGTAACAAAACATAAATATGTAAAAAATACAAAAAGGCATGCCCAAAATAAAGACAAAAAACTACGAAAGGCCTCCAAACAAAACCAGCAGCCTCACGGCTTTGCCCGCTGAATGAAGATTTACATTTTAGTCATTTAGCAGACGCTCTTATCCAGAGCGACTTACAGTTAGTGAGTGCATACATTTTTCATACTGGCCCCCCATGGGAATCGAACCCACAACCCTGGCGTTGCAAGCGCCATGCTCTACCAACTGAGCTACAGGAGGCTACAAGATCACTTTAATTGGCAGCACCTGTGTGCAAATAAAGGCCTGGCTCAGCAGCTAGACCCGGTTGCTGCTGTCACCTGGGGATGGAGTGTGTAAGTGTATCATGGTAGTGTGTTTGTCTATGTCGTAACACTAACCTCCCCCCCCCCCCCCCATATCATAACACCACCATTAGGTAAACACCAGGTGAAATCCCTTATACAAAATTAGCTTTTACAGTACAAAGATAAAAATAAAAAAAATATTGAGCATCTGAAAAAGTTTTCTAAATGCGGGAATATCTGATACGAAACATTAATGTGTTGATAGTGAACAGTGGACCCCTGAAATGTAAAATACCTGAGGAGTTTGAGGTGACCTTTTGTGAAAGGTGGATAGAGATAAGTTTAGAAATGTCACACTGGCTTCCCAGTGAGCTGACCTCTGGCCACAACCTTTGATCTGTACCCTCTTTAATGTCACCTCTAACTCATTTCCTCTGGAGCAAACTCGTCAACATTCATAGGGAGTAAAAGAGGCATATAATGCGAACGAGAACAAGCTCAATACATAGAGACATGAATGTTTTATGTTTTATCACATTTAGGGAACATACAATTTTTTTTTGTCTTAGAGTTATGTTTTGAAATATGGAAGGAAAGAAGACCTCCCTTCCCATCACATTCGTTATTACGGCTTCCGTGTGTGTGCGTGCAGTGGAGGGTAAACGCAAGTAAACGTAGTTTACCAATCTTTTGCAGAAAACTGCATTGCAAGTATAGGGAGCGTTAGTTTTCCACCACAACCTTTTTTTTAACCACTAAATCAAGGTGTGTGTGTGTGTGTGTGTGTGTGTGTGATGGGAGTGGTGTGAAGCCGCCGGAGGAGACAAAAGCTAGCTAGCGACAATACATCACCATGAGGAAGACACATCAAAACAATGCAGACCTCAGATGTGTTGAAATGTCTCATTCAACTACAGCTTCAAAGGCAAGTGGCTAATGACTGGAAACAACTCTACAGGCTCTGTAGCTCAGCTGGTAGAGCACGGCGCTTGTAACGCCAAGGTAGTGGGTTCGAACCCCGGGACCACCCATACACAAAAATGTATGCACGCATGACTGTAAGTCGCTTTGGATAAAAGCGTCTGCTAAATGGCATATTATTATTTATATTATTACTATAGACAATGAAGCTGAAATATATGTCTTGTTCAACAGTTACACCTGGAGTCTTGACCTCTAACCTCCAGGACACCATTTCTGATTGATGAGTCTAAACAAAGATGATCTATTATATTGACAAGATGGTCAAATGACTGCTCTAACAATGGAAAAACATGTCCACAAAGGTGAAAGGCAGGCGGGAGGAGGTGAGATCAGATGGGAACATTCTAGCCAGAGAGGGCAGATACGAGTGTAAACAACAGGCACAACTCTGATATAAAATCATTTTTATCAAAGTTGCCTGAACGTCACGTGCATTACACATAGATCAGTACACTTGTAACTACCTAAGCAGTATGAAACTTCTATTTGATCAAATAAGCCTCACCTATCAAAATAGCAAATCACTTTTATCTTGACTAAATTCGACACTCATTGCCCCCCATACAAAAATGTCTCACTTGGTCTGCTTTTAACACTTATTTTCGCGTGGACATATTTTGGGTTGAGTCGACCCTTTCTCTTCACCTTTAGTCTAAAGCAGTGCAGTACTATAGAATGAGTGGGCCACTGCAAACTTGCTCAGAGGGTTCAAGAGGGGAAAACCTTCTAAAGATAATCTACGATGCCCCCTGGTGGTTGTCATTTTAGATTCTACTTCCCCTAACACAGATCTTTACACAATAATATTTTGAATAAATTGCTCTCCAATAAGCCTTTTCCATATATGTCATTGCAATAATAAGCATTTCTATATCAATGTTAACCAAAATATACTGTACACATTTTCTTTTACATACAAAACAGCTCTAAAACACAGGACAAAAAGGCAAATCAGACAAAATGTTCAAATGGACCCCTTTAATTCTGCACAGGACAGCCATACAGTACATTTTCAATAGAAAAATTATATGCACTTGGCTGCTTTGGGCTCATGTCTCAAGTTAGGCTCTCGTCCAGAAATTCATACATCACCACCATCACCCCTGGTGCCCAACAATCTGAGAACAGAATCATAACTCCTCACACAGTTCTAGGACAAACCCAGAACAGAAAACACATCACTTCTAGAACATCCATAATTCTACAACAGAACTCCAGTAGTATTCTCATGTGGTTTTAGTTTAGAATCACAACCATTTTATCTGTGGTCAAAAGGCAGGACGAGACCTGGGGCTCCAGTTCCTTTTGATGGTAGTTGAGACATTCAGCTTATGGTTTGGCTTTGTATTTACTTCCCTTTTCATTACACAATCAACTCAACACTAAACAATCCCACCCTGGATAGACGTAACATAGATCACACGACTGACATTGTCTCAACTCCTGGGATCAAACAAGCTTGCTACTGGAAGAAGCCTCAAGAGACTGAGGTTCCTCATAAGGAGATGCATGCAATACTACTGTCGTATTCATTGGGCACCAAACAGAAACAAACGTGCCAAAATGGAGAGGTACTATCTGAATGTGTCCAATAAGAAACACTCATTTTCTTGTTCAGTTGCTTTGTTACGGTGTTCCCTAATGAATACAACCCATGTCTCAGAACAGAGTGGCAGCCAGTCTAGTCAATTACATAGCGTAGTAGGATGAGGAAACACAAAATTATCAATGAGTTTATTGATCAGCAGTCAGTAGAACAGGGAGAAGAGGAACATGTCATTCTGGTGACTCATCAAAAACAGCTTCTTCAAGGTCTTCATACAAATATCATTGTTTTTCTTTTAAATATATATATTTTTAATGAATTCACTAGAACATAAATAACACCATTATTGCTAATTAGAATGATCTGATATAAAGTACAACTCACACATACTGGCATCAACGTTGTTACTATTTGGGGAGGGTGATGAATGAGCAAACCAATGCAGACTAAAACAAAAAACATTAAAATTATCATCAGCAATTGAAGCAGCTACAAAAATGAAAAATTAATACCGTAAGCAAAGAAGCACTTCGCAATGCAATTAACACAATTTTGAACAAAATATCAGTTATTAATAGTTTCACAATTAGAAAGCATCATAATAACCCGAGAGCGAATCAAACTGTAACTGATATCAAACCAATGAAATTAACTTGTTATTTTCAGGTGGAAACAGTGAGGTCACTTGAAAACATTAGAACTAATGAATGAAGTGAAAGCTTTTGTCCCATTGTCCCAAACGGGACCCTATTCCCTATATAGTGCAGTACTTTTGACCAGAGCCCAATGTGTCCTGTTCAAAAGTAGTGCACTACATAGGGAATAGGGTGCTACTTGGGACTGACCCAATGACACTATATGGCCATGAGAGAGAGAACAACAACTATAGACCCAAATTAAACTTGTTTTTAGGGCATATGTACAGGATTTGTAGGAAGTGTGTCCAATTAGACAACTCATTCACTGTCCAACTCATTCTTTCATTCATCTGAACCATTAGTTGTTTGGGATTTCTGGTCAGCTGCGGCTTCTGAGGGAACCTCCTGGAATGGGAGAAACAAGACAGGAATCCTTCAGTTCATGTCAACATACAAAAATAGAACAATGTTTGGCAGTATTGGGCAAACTAATGAGTTCTTTATGAACAGTCCATTCTAGGCGTATGTGTCAAGTTATAACTGTACTGCTTATGAATGCATTATGTAACATATACCCTTTTCATACATAGGACGGCGCTACAGTAACGGGTCGATAGCGACAATTTCAGACAATCAGAAGCATCTGTACCTTTTCAGCCAGTAGAATTCTGCTCCGGCATAGAATGTTCGGTATTGTTTCCCTGACAACAATAAACGTTGCTGATTGATGTGCTGTTTTTCTTCTGTTTCTTTATGACAAGGTAGATAGATGTGTTTTCTTTCAACTAAATATATTGGTAAGTCATTGTATCTAACAAACTTCAAAGTACTTTTCTTAGGAGCGAGGGGTCTGCATGCAGGCAGGCTGTGCGCAGGCAGCTCGAGATCATTTGATTGACAGTTCTGGTTGCCTAGTGATGGACGTTAGTCCCGCTTCAGAAGCAGCATTCCTTTACAGACAACTTAAATGCCCATTCAGTGGCGCTTCCAAACTATCTCCAGAGAAGGTTTCGTGGCGGCATTTAAAAAGCCGTTGTGTACCTTTTCAGACAAACAAACATGCCGTAGCGCTTTCAAGGCGCCACATTCCATATGTCTGAAAGGGGCAATAGCGAAATTTTGACTGTTGTACGACAAGTGCATTACCTTCTTATCACACAGTTGTTTTGGGCTGATTATAGCACAAATCCTAAACTTTAAGATTCTTAAACATAACTTAAGTTACATGCAAATCTCCTATTAACAACTAACCCAATCCACCAGCAATTGTAAGGTGCTTTCTTCGAGACCTATCGGAAATCCATGATTATCACCATTTAAAACAAACTAATGTCTACCAATAAATCAATCAGTCAGTCAGTCAATCAATTATACCTTCTTGAGGACTCCCTGCAGTTCCTTAATGGCATTGCCCAGGTTGTTGAGTGTCTTGCTGAGCTGGTCGTGGTAGACAGTCTTCTCTTCCTCCGTAGCTCTGAAGTTGTTCTCCGTCTGGCCCAGAGTTCCCTTCACCTCCTCCAGATCTTTAGACAGGGCTCGGTTAGCTGAGACCAGCTGGAGGATTTGCTTGGTGTCCTCGGCTGGAACACAACACACATACAGGTTTAGACAGCACCACCCACACATACAGGTTTAGACAGCACCACCCACACATACAGGTTTAGACAGCACCACCCACACATACAGGTTTAGACAGCACCACCCACACATACAGGTTTAGACAGCACCACCCACACATACAGGTTTAGACAGCACCACCCACACATACAGGTTTAGACAGCACCACCCACACATACAGGTTTAGACAACACACCCATACAGGTTTAGACAACACACCCATACAGGTTTAGACAGCACCACCCACACATACAGGTTTAGACAACACACACACACATTTAGACAACACACAGACACACACATACAGGTTTAGACAACAACACACACACATTTAGACAACACACAGACACACACATACAGGTTTAGACAACAACACACACACACGCATAGGTTTAGACAACAACACACACACATACAGGTTTAGACACTCAGGAACACATTCTCCATTCTATTAAATTACACGTTTTTTCCCGGTTGAAGTTCATTCACCAATTGCAGTTATTAAAAATACATAGGATATTTTTTTTCATCCCACAAGGGGCAATTCTAATGCCATCAGGCTGCAGAATTAGGATAACATTGCGTCAAAGCCATCAGAGCTTAAAAGACCTTTGAAGACCTACAAAAGCCAGTCTGAGTTTAACGATGATCATAAAAGATAAGTAATGGCTCTGGTGGAGCGAGGAACAAAATGATGCAAAGGACATATTGGCCTATGTCCCAATGGCCATGAAGAGAATTGAGTAAATCTGTTAAGGTGACTTGTCTCTTACCCATCTTGGAGTCCTGCACCATGAGTTTCTGCTCTATCTCCTCCCTGGCCTTCTCACTCTTGTCCAGTTTCTGCATGATGCTGCCCACGTCCACCATGGCTCCATTATACACTATCAGACTGCTGCCGCCTCCGGACTCACTAGCCTCCACTGGCGCTGCCTGGCCACGAGACACAAGCGTGGGCAGCAAGGCACGGTTACCTGAGGAGAGAGAGAGGTGGAGAGAGAGAAGGAAAGGAAGAGGGAGGGAAAGAAAGTAGAGAGAGAGAGTCAGACTCAAAATAAACCACACTAGGTCAGTTCTAACTAGGATGTTGGATATTCACAGAAAGCATTGGTGAAGGACTAGATCATTCGGATCCACCTTAGTTATGCTTAAAAATTGAGATAAGTCAAAAAGAGAACATTAATAACCCATTCCAGTGTCAGTTCTCCTTCACTCACCTAGCAGGTTGTCTAGCAGTGGTTCACTGAAAGAAGGAGCAGCCTCATCTTTAGCTGCGTCCGTCAGTTTACGGTAGTAACAAGACTCTCTCACCACCGGCTTGTTCAACAACTTCTTTACCTGCAAATGAATAAACATTATAAAAAGTACTAACAAATGATCAATCACATATATTGTGACAAATATAAAAAGAGCAAGACAGGCGTGTGTAAACTTGAGCTCAAGACAAGTGTAAGCCCCAGTGTGTGTGTGTGTATACCTGGGCTCTGGACAGATGTAACCCCAGTGTGTACATGATGTCCTCCAGGTCTTTCTCCAGCAGGTAGCCACAGTGGCTCTGGTCAAAGTAGACAAAGGCCATGAGCAGGTCCTTGTTGTAGGTCACCATTTGCTTCTTCTCCTTCTCCTTGTCTTTAGAGGACCTCTCTTTGGACTTCCTGTCGTCTCTGCTGCTGCGGTCATCTCTCCTGTCCCTGCCGTTAGAGTCCTCATCGTCTTTATCTGAGAGAGAATCGACAGAAGTCCGTCAGATTTGTACTTGTGAAACGTACAAGGTAGAATTTCTTAACACTTCTAGGGTTTGTTATAGAGATTCTCTCTTGAGCATGCTTTTTAGTCAAGGCCTAATCTGTGTCCAGGACACAGGCCCATAATGAATCAGGATGAATTGTATGTACCATCTTCATCATCGTCGTCAGCATCTTCGGCCTCCAGAGGGTCGTACTCCTCAGCATTTGTGTTGCTGCTCTCATCCTCCTCCTTCTCCTCCTTCTCCTCCGCATCTATAGAATCCTCCTTCAGCACTTTCTCCTCCTCACCCTCCTCCTGGGTTTGGAAAATACATGGCATAGGCACAACTTAGAACTAGCAGGCTGTTTGAAAAACCGAGCACTTCCTTTGAATCATGGAACAAACTTTGTATGTACAGTGCCTTCAGAAAATATTCACACCACCCATTGACTTTTTCCACATTTTGTTGTGTTACAGCCTGAATAAAAAAAGGTGTCCCTGGCCTACACAAAGTACCCCATAATGTCAATGTGGAATTATGTTTTTCAAAAAAAAAAAAAAAAATGAAAGCTGAAATGTCTTGAGTCAATAAGTATTCAACCACTTTGTTATGGCAAGCCTAAATAAGTTCAGGAGTAAAGATGTTCTTAACAACTCGGATAATAAGTTGCATGGACTCACTCTGTGTCCATGCAACTCACTCTGTGTGCAATGATGACTACCTCATCCTTGTACTCCACACATACAATTATCTATAAAGGTCCCTCAGTCGAGCAGTGAATTTCAAACAGATTCAACCACAAAGACCAGGGAGGTTTTCCAATGCCTCACAAAATAGATGGGTAGATGGGTAAAAAAAAAAAAAAAAAAAGGAGACATTGAATATCCCTTTGAGCATGGTGAAGTTTTTAATTACACTTTGGATGGTGTATCAATACACCCAGTCACCACAAAGATACAGACATCCTTCCTCACTCAGTTGCCGGAGAGGAAGGAAACCACTCAGGGATTTCACCATGAGGCCAATGGTGACTTTAAAACAGTTACAGTGATAGGAGAAAACTGAGGATGGATCAAGTGAAAAGACGGAATATATTCTTAAACATGCATCCTGTTTGCAACAAGGCACTAAAGTAATACAGCAAAAACAGTGGCAAAGCAATTCACTTTTTGTCCTGAATAAAAAGTGTTTTGGTTGGGGTAAATCCAATACAACACATTACCAAGTACCACTCCCCATATTTTCAAGCATAGTGGTGGCTGCATCATGTTATGGGTATGTTTGTAATCGTTAAGGACTGGGGAGTTTTTCCAGGATAAAAAAGAAGCAGAATGAAAATCCTAGAGGAAAACCTGGTTCAGTCTGCTTTCCACCAGACACTGGGAGATGAATTCACCTTTACACTGGAGTTGCTTACCAAGAAGACAGTGAATGTTTCAGAGTGACTGAGTTACAGTTTTGACTTAAATCTTCTTGAAAATCTATGGCAAGACCTGAAAATGGTTGTCTAGCAATGAAGAATTTTGAAATGAATAATGGGCAAATGTCGCACAATCCAGGTGTGGAAAGCTCTTAGAGACTTACCCAGAAAGACACAGCCATAATCAAACATTTCTAAAAACATGTTTTCACTTTGTCATTATGGGGTACTGTGTGTAGATGGGTGAGGAAAAATCAATGTAATCCATTTTGAATTCAGGCTGTAACAATAAAATGTGGAATAAGTCAAGGGGTATGAATACCTTCTGAAAGCACTAAATACAATTCACTAAAGAGCTATGAACCTCCCACCTACTTCTTCTCAATATAAATACAATTCACTCTCGAGAGCGATGAACCACTCACCTTCTTCTCCGGTTCCTCCTCTTTTGCCTTCTTTGTCACCGGCTCTCCATTCTCCTCCTCCTTTACTTTCTTCACATCTGTCTTCTTCTCTGCCTCCTTCTTCTCTGCCTCCTTCTTCTCTGCCTCCTTCTTCTCTGCCTCCTTCTTCTCTGCCTCCTTCTTCTCTGCCTCCTTCTTCTCTGCCTCCTTCTTCTCTGCCTCCTTCTTGGCCTTCTCCTTCTTGTCTTTCTTGTCATCCTTGCAGGGCACAGAGGCCAGGGCCTTGAAGATCCTGTAGCCAAAGTCTCTCTGTAGCATCTCGTTAAACAGCTCCGCAAACAGAGACACCTGGAGAGAAGAGGAGACAGAGATATGATACCTTTTGATGCAAATCTTATTAAGGACTTCACTCGGCTACCGTCTGGCAGACGGAGAAAGTACAGGTGCATCAGTGCCAAGACAGAGACTAAAAAACAGCTTTGATTACCAGGCCAGACTGTTGAACTGCCATCACTAGCAGTCTACCAGGTGTTGCACACTCACACACACCTAATACTCACTCTCACACACACAGTAGTGTTGAGCCACTGGACACTTCCCATTTCACACAGTATTTAAAATACTGTATTCCCAACATAGCTCATTCTAATACTGTACTTTGTATTTTAGTTACACTGTTTATACACACACACCACATTTACTTGGCTCACTAATATATCTACTGCTGTACAAATCATTCTTAGCATATATTGTGTACATTCTTCCGGTGTACATATGTTCCACATACTGTAGTGGAACAGGTTGAGAGCTTCAAGTTCCTTGGTGTCCACATCACCAACGAACTATCATGGTCCAAACACACCAAGACAGTCGTGAAGAGGGCACGACAAAGCCTATTCCCCCTCAGGAGACTGAAAAGATTTGGCATGGGTCCTCAGATCCTCAAAAAATTCTACAGCTGCACCATCGAGAGCATCCTGACTGGTTGCATCACCGCCTGGTATGGCAACTGCTTGGCCTCCGACCGCAAGGCACTACAGAGGGTAGTGCGTACGGCCCAGTACATCACTGGGGCCAAGCTTCCTGCCATCCAGGACCTCTATACCAGGCGGTGTCAGAGGAAGGCCCTCAAAATTGTCAAAGACTCCAGCCACCCTAGTCATAGACTGTTCTCTCTGCTACCGCACGGCAAGCGGTACTGGAGTGCCAAGTCTAGGTCCAAAATACTTCTCAACAGCTTCTACCCCCAAGCCATAAGACTCCTGAACAGCTAATCATGGCTACCCGGACTATTTGCACTGCCCCCCCCCACCCCATCCTTTTACGCTGCTGCTACTCTGTTAACTATTTATGCATAGTCACTTTAACTCTACCCACATGTACATATTACTTCAACTACCTCAACTAGCCGGTGCCCCCGCACATTGACTCTGCACCGGTACCCCCCTGTATATATAGCCTCCCTACTGTTATTTTATTTTACTTCTGCTCCTTTTTTTTCTCAACACTTTTTTTGTTGTTATTTTATTTTTACTTTTTTTGTTAAAAAGAAATGCACTGTTGGTTAAGGGCTGTAAGTAAACATTTCACTGTAATGTCTGCACCTGTTGTATTCGGCGCATGTGGCCAATAAAATTTGATTTGATTTATATACACTCAGTGGCCAGTTTATCAGGTACACCCATCTAGTACCGGGTCGGACACCCCTTTACCTCCAGAACAGCCTGAATTCCTCGGGGCATGGATTCTACAAGGTGTGGCATTCAAACATTGCTCAATTGGTATCAAGGGACCTAACGTGTGCCAGGAAAACATTCCCCACACCATTACACCACCAGCCTGTATCGTTAACACCAGGCAGGATGGGTCCATGGACTCATGCTGCTTATGCCAAATCCTGACTCTGCCATCAGCATGACGCAACAGGAACCGGGATTCGTCGGACCAGGCAATGTTTTTCCTCTCCTCAAATTGTCCAGTGTTGGTGATCACGTGCCCACTGGAGACACTTCTTCTTGTTTTTAGCCGATAGGAATGGAACCCGTTGTGGTCGTCTGCTGCAATACCCCATCCATGACAAGGACCGACAAGTTGTGCGTTCCGAGATGCCGTTCTTCACACCACTGTTGTACTGCGCCGTTATTTGCCTGTTTGTGGCCCCTGTTAGCTTGCACAATTCTTGCCATTCTCCTTCGACCTCTCATCAACGAGCTGTTTTCGCCCACAGGACTGCCGCTGACCAATGTTCCCTCTAATGTTTTTCAGCACTGAGCAGATTTCAGGTCTGCTGAGCACAAACTTGAACGTTGTGAAAATTCTGTGCAACTTCAGGCGTCCGTTTACTGTGAACGCTGAGGCTGTACCCACTTTAAGTTACAGTTTTAACAACGGCCATGTAGGCTACTGCGGCTATTTGATCATAATGTAGGCCTACCAGAGTGGCCTACCATCAAAAACAATGGAGAAAAATGCATCCCATAACATTAACATGGAAATAGCTGCCTAAAGTAGCAGCAAATGTGTGGTGTTCAATGTAGGCCTACATTCCATGAGACTTTTGGAAAAAAAAACATGGGCTTGACATTAACCTGTTTATCCACTTGTCCTTCAGACGAGGTAACTGAAAATGTTTAATGCAAGAAACAACTTGACAAAATAAAATTCATTATTATTCCCATACCATTATTACAGAGAATCAGACAAATGATGCTACCCTCTGCCTATTTGCTACTTCGCTTATTCAAGACCGTATCAAAATACAACACCTTTAAGACATAAAAAAAGCTCTTTACCTGACTTGCTTTACAAAGATGGCTAGAAATGCACACATTCTGTGCTCTTGCAGGAAGCAATCACTCCCACATTGTTGAGTAGAAAATAGCTATAACTGGGCTAATAATTCACTAACTAGCCAAGGATATGAACAAATGTGCACAGGTGGCTACATGCAGCTCTCGCTTTGATCTCAAAACAAGTGCATCTACTCACGACTGCTCATGCTGTAAACACAGTCCAATTCAAAGTGAATGGCACAGATCCATATATGGCAATTTGCATATAAGCCTACTGCAGCTCTGATTGGTTATGGCGCACCGGTCTGTGTATTGCCTATCAAAGCAATAGAATCCTACACCAATGCGCCCTGCCTACAAGAACATTTCTTGCACAGTTAGTTTAGCATACTATGTCTTGCATAGTTTGTTTTGTTTCGGTATGTTATATTGAAAGTGGCTAATATTGCGTTGATTTGAGCACAATTCCCACAGTAGAGCGAAACGTTGATAGTGTCAACTAAAGGGGATAACTCTAGATAGTTGAGTGAAGTTCAATCTCGTGCTTCTCTGGGCAGGCTGATAATTCTTCTGCGCGGCAGTCTGAGGGGAGCTGCGCACCTGCGCACGCACGCAGCTTAAAGGGAACATTGCCGTTGACTGGGTGTTTTTTGTTTGTAGCACCATTCTCTGTAAACCCTAGACACTGTCGTGCGTGAAAATCCCAAGAGGCCGGCCGTTTCTGAGATACTGAAACCGGCGCGCCTACCACTTAGGTCACTCGTTTTGCCCATTCTAACCAATTGAACAGTAATTGAATGCCTCGATGCCCGTTTGCCTGCTTTATAGAGCAAGCCATGGCCAGTGACTCAATGTCTGTAGGAGCGAAGCATTTTCGTGAACGGGTTGTAAAATTCAGTGTATGACTGGGAGCTACCAATACTCAGTGCAGCTGCTGCTACTACTGCTAATATGTGTGTGCGTGTGTGTGTGTGTGTGTGTGTGTGTGTGTGTGTGTATGTATGTATGTATATCTGTGTGTGCTCATGTTCATGAGTGTCCTGAGATTTTGTGTGTGTGTCCTGAATGTGCTCTGAATGTGTGCGTGTTTGTGTGTGTCTGTGTTGTCTCACCTCGAAGGAGTGTTCCTTGTTGTCCTCCACCCTGTAGTCCAGCAGCACGCTCAGAGACATCACGCTGCAGTCAAACTTGCCGTTCTTGGCCGCCCAGTTGGGGTGAACTATGATGGTGGGCTCGTCTGGCAGGACGTAGCGCTTCTCTCTGCGCTGGCGCTCCAACTCCTCTTGCTTCTTCCTCTCCTCCTCCTGATGGACAAACAGACGGAGAGAGATGGGATGAAGATGGATAATCAGAAACAAGAAATCAGTGGACCCATTCTAGTAAGGCCAGGTATTGTTGTTTGTAATTGTGCTAAATGTAGCTAAGTGCACTAAAAGCATACCTCTGTCCAGCTTTGGTGTTAGTACACTAGACGCAAGTGTCCTAGCAGTAAGTGTCCTAGTCGTAAGTACCCTCCTGTACTGTACCTCTCTGTCTTCCTCCATGTGTTGAGGCTCCTCCTCCTCAGGGACCTGGCTCTCCGGTTTCTCAGGCTCCTTGGCCTCCTCCACCTGCTCCTCCACTTTCAGCTGCTTGGTGAGGCGGGCAATCAGCTGGGACTTCAACCCCTTAGAGCTCAGGGAGCGTGACTCGAGCTCTTTGCGCAGGTCATTCACCTACAGAGGAGAGGTGGTCAGATCATAATTTATCATTATTTTGTTTCACATTTTGGATGGATTGGATATACAATGTGATTCAAAAGAGGAAGCTCCCCGCACATTGTTTCTTTTTTTAAATGTATTTTGTGCTGAACAAACATTGCACGTGAGCAGTATGTGGAATCTGCTTTTTTGGAAAGACACACAATACATAACAAAAGATAAGTGCACCAGTAAACTACCAATATGCTAGCCCTGCTGAGATGCTATAGACAAGAATGCATTGACATAACTTCTGATCAGGGCTCTAAAGTGCGACAATTCTGGTCGCGACGCTGAAACATTCATTTCTAAAAGGCTTTCCCATAAAACTTTCCAAATTAAAATGTTAACTGCAAAGTAACCTTACCTGGCATAATGATATGATATGATGATTTGTATCAATTGGCTATATGCATGGTCCAGGGGTCGCATTAGCGTTCAGAAATCAGTATTTTCAAAACCATTTCACCTGCGTTTTTGATTGAAAGTCAACAGTGGAGTTCTGCTTCAATGGAGCGATAAGGGCCGTGCGACTAAAGTTGTTCTTCACACAAAACACATTAGTGCAACACATTCGTCAGAAAATCGTTTATCAGATGACAACAGAAGTGCAACGCTATTTGGCTAGCAGACACACAAGTAAATTAGCTTTCAATGAAAAAGTTTTTTGCAAAAACGATGCATGGCCATCATATTTCTAATGTTTATTAGAGAAAGAATGTAGCCAGCTACATTTTCTAATGTTTCGCTTGAAGTTTAACTTCTTGCATTTTAACTTGCTAACGGAGAAAAACTAGACGTAAGGAAAGTACCGGAGAAAAGTCGCCTACACTACACATCAGTCAGAGCGCTGTCTGGTGAGCCAATGAAGACAGCAAAGATATTTAATCCGAGTGGAGAAGTGCAATTGAAGCACGAAATTAGTCATTTTACATTCATGATTTGGAGCGAACCCTGACTGAAGCCGAGCAGAATTTACAATAATGAGCATTTTAGATCTGTGTTTAGAAAAGGCATCAAGATCCTTTTTCTGCGTTTTACCTATCTTTCCTTTCCTTTTCTGCGACCTCTGATGGGCCAATATATTAAAATATTTTTTTATGAATAATTTTAGCATTATGTTATTGGGCTCATTTCTGGAGGTGGAAATTATATTTTAGATGCTTTCAGCATAATTATATAGTAGAATGTCCTTTTAAAAAGTCACCAGAACTGAGCTTCTCAGTCCTCCTACATAAAAATTATCCAGGGACCCCCCCTCCTCATCTGCAACCATTAATTCAAGCATTTTTTATTTTTGCAGATCAAACACTGGTTAGGATTGTTGTTAAGTTGCAAAGTTACTGATGACACCAAGTATGGATGTGGGGAACCACCTGAACCAAAACAGCTAATAGCACCTCAGAAGAACAGTATCCTGACTCACTAGCAATGCCATGGTTGTGGGTTCAATTCTGCAGTGATCATCACATACACATACAAAAAATGAGGCTATCCACTCACTGTACTCTAAATCTCTGAATAAAAGTATCTGCTAAGTGGCTTTAAAAGTCTAAGTAACTCACTTTGTACTGAGTAATATTCAGAATCCTACCTTCATTGATTTTGGATCAAGCTTAGTCCAGTGTGTCGGGGTGGTCACCTCCTTTGAATCTTCTTCATCCTTCTCCTCTTCCTCCTTTGAGAAAGAACCAACCAACCGAGACAGAGAGAGATAGAGAAAGAAAAAAAGAGAGGGACAGAAAACCATTAAAACACTAGTTCTCCTGTCATTTTAACTAGTAAAAAACCAAAAGGTGATTCTTCACATCATGTGTCTGATAGTTTCTCTGGTCCTAGTGAGTTGCTCTGGGATGATAAAGTAGTCCTCTGCTACTGCAGGGTGGGTAGGTAGGTAGGTAACACAGGGACGCCCTCTAGCTCTTTAATATAAAACCTTTATCACGGAAAACCAATGCCCTGCCCCCCATCCCCAGCGGCCAATCAATCACGTTCTGTGGAACACAAAAAGGTAAATCAATGACAGTGGGTTCCAAAGGGGGTGTGGTCTGTATCTGTGTAGTGGCAGGTACATCACGTTCAACTCAAAGCTGGTGTTGCCAAACTCAGTGTGTATGCTAACTGTCTGTATGTGGGTTCCGTAGCTAGCAATCCTAGTCTGGCATAGATTCTGATTGGGATAGTTCTGGATTCTGCATTCTTTTGGTTCTGTTTAGGTTCTAGAAGATCATAGAAGACCATCTGTCCAACCAACTGCCCTGGAACAAACCAAGCTCTAGATACAGTCCAATCAAAACAGGGACAGACAAGATACAGAACTTAGGGAAGGTTTTTTTTCTCTTTTCAAATTCAGCAGATACTGAAGTAAAAAATTATCAAAAAATCTAAAACTAAATCTAGAACAAACACATGCCAACGCAACTGGTTCTGCAGGTTCCAGCATTCTCTTTTAGAATCCTCAGCGGTTCCAAGCAAATAATCCAATTATGTAATTTTATCCTCCCCTCATGCAAGTAGCCAAAATTGCAAGCAGGTTCATTTTTTATTAATTGTGATTATAGCACAAGCAAATAAAGCCAATTAGGCTATATCCAGTATAGACCAATTAAGAGTCATTTATAAAGCTGGAAGCTGATTGGCCAGTTGCGGCGTCGTCATTCAGATACGACCTAGTCTCCGTTCACTGTGTCTGCTGAGTGTGAGGGCAGGTGGGGTGTAGGGAGGGGACGGTGGGGGTAGGAGCAGGTAGCAGGACGGTAGGAGGAGGGGGGGGGGACCAGTGAGAGGAACTGAACCTAAAGGGGACCAGGTAGTTCAATATTCTGCCTGTGATGATGGTGATATCTGGTTTACCCTCTGTGTGTGTGTTTAGATTTGTATAACATATGTACTGTGTGTATCTGGGGTGGTTATGTCTAGTGAATATCCTGTGGCTGTGTTCGTCCTGTGAGAAGCGGGGGAAATGAGAAGAGAGGGATTAGCGGTTCAGTGCCTGTTCTCCATCAGCCTCCTTCCGCTCGGCGGACAGCTTCTCAGCCAGCTGCTCCCGAAGTCCCCGCGACAGCCCTTCCCACTCTGAGCGGGTAGGAAGACAATGCCAAACATCCGGGAGAAACAAAACCACTGTCTCCACATGTGCGGGCACTGTCCGCCCCTTGTGAGTCTCCTCAGGGCGATGATAGCGAATCTCTGCAAAACGATACCTGTCGCAAAGGAAGAAGGCGCATTGGAAAGAAACATTCGGGTCAGGGACACATCTCTCAAAAACAGGGCTAGGACTAGCCTAGGCTACATTACCCCCCAATGACTTTTGAACTTGTTACAGTATCCCCCCCAACACACAACATTAGCATGGAGCCCAGTCTGCAGCTCTCCATTGGTTGTCCATTGGTTTTCAGGGGTAACAGCGGCCATTTTTTGTTTTGACAAAAACATCAACCCTGGTAACACCCCAAACCCGCCCCAACCCTCGACTTCAGTCAATCAAAGCTCAGTATGTCTGTGTTTGCGTAGCTTACGACCCCGCGGACGGGAGAGTTTGTGAGAGAAGACACAGAATCAGAGGACAGGACAGTAAAAGCAAGAAGTTAAATATGTAAGATATTTAACAGAATGAAAGGAAAACATTTAAAACACGAAAAGTAATGGTGGTGTCTTCTGGTCCGGGAGACTGCGCTTCGAGCCAACAAAAATCTATGCATTCATTCATCCACCACATAGATATACAAAGATAGATAGAAGCAGGACGGCGTCATATGGTAGCCAAAGAGACATATTGCAAAACAAAAAAGAATTAAGAGGCAAATCAAATGACAGAATCATAGTCATTAATGTCCAAAAACCAACAAAAAAAGCAATATATTCATCGTTGGGAGGTAACAAAACCATGCATCATGGATTGTCACCTTTTCAATTTTTTGTAATAATACTACCACAGGCCTAGTTATCGACAGAAACGACAGCGATAGAAAAGAGAGAAAGGAGGTTGAGGAAAAGAGCAGGACTTACCACTGAGTGCAGAGACTCAGGTCTATGCCTGTGAGGGCCTTACAACAGCGTATGGCTGTCTTTATGAGCACAGCCGGGTCCTTCTCAGGCTCCGCTCCATCCAGGGAGGGGGACCAGTGGCCCCCGATTGCCATGGCCTCGTCCTTACCCCGCATCCCCACCAGGAACTGAGCAATGGAGAGAGAGACCGAAGGAGAGACAGAAGGACAGAGTGAGAAATTGGAAAGAGACAAACAAGAGGTTAAAAACAAGCCTAAGCCTCCTCCATAACATTTGACATTTTAGTCATTTAGCAGACGCTCTTATCCAGAGCGACTTACAGTTAGTGAGTGCATACATTTTTCATACTGTACTGTACGCCAGGCTAGGGAAAAACACCTGAGTGGTTGACACCTAACTGACCTTGATGAGGCGGGCGGGGTGCTGGAAGGAGTCTCTGAGTTCTTGAGGGTCCTCAGCCAGAGCACAGGACTTATGGTAGAGCTCTTCTAGACTGGGGTTGGCCAGCAACATCACCTGTTCAACACATTACAACAGACAGGACAGGTGAAGGTGTGAGTGGACTTAGCGCTGTATGTGGTATTAGTAGGTGTGTGTGTATGTATCACAACATAGCGCTGTACAGGTGTGTGTGTGTGTGTGTGTATGTACACGTGCATGCAACCTGTCTGTGTGTATACCCTACCTTAGCGCTGTATGTGTGGTTGGCATCAGGAGGGTCCAGCACCGCAGTGTTCTTAACCAGAGAGTCCACCTCCTTGTGCATGATGTGGAAGTTACAGTAGTTGCCGAACTGGAAGGGCCGTTGCAGGGGGAAGCCATCCACCCAGGTGAACACAGCATCAAAGAAGTCACTGGGGATGTACAGGCTCTGGTAGCGTCTTCTCAGCTCCATCATGTCACAGTTAGAACTGGATGGGAGAAAATAGTACAGTTCTACCAAATGTAGTCACTACAAATGGTTCTAGCATGGATGCAAAGCACCTCGAACCTGCTTCAATGCAGCCACATAGCTTTTTTTTATATCAATTACAAAACATCTTTAATACAACCTCAATTTACCTCCTCACATTCACTTCTTTATAACAATCAGAAACAACAGGGACACACGAGGAGCAGCGAGCAGACCGAAGACTATATGCACACTGTAAGAAAGGCCCCGAGAGGCTCCGAGTTGGTGCCGAAACACAGGAATATATCTTTATAACAATCAGAAACAACAGGGACACACGAGGAGCAGCGAGCAGACCGAAGACTATATGCACACTGTAAGAAAGGCCCCGAGAGGCTCCGAGTTGGTGCCGAAACACAGGAATATATCTTTATAACAATCAGAAACAACAGGGACACACGAGGAGCAGCGAGCAGACCGAAGACTATATGCACACTGTAAGAAAGGCCCAGAGAGGCTCCGAGTTGGTGCCGAAACACAGGAATATATCTTTATAACAATCAGAAACAACAGAGACACACGAGGAGCAGCGAGCAGACCGAAGACTATATGCACACTGTAAGAAAGGCCCAGAGAGGCTCCGAGTTGGTGCCGAAACACAGGAATATATACAGTTCACCTAGTCCTCCACTACTCACACAGTTCTAAAGTCAATAGCACCCCTGTGTAGTGCCTAAAACCCGGCCTTAGGCAACACAGTGACTAAGGTCAGAGCCCTATACTACGAATCAGGTTTGAGGAGTAACCGAGGTAACTTTGGTCAACTCTCGAGTTCAACTCGGGATAACCGCTACCACGAAAGTGGCTCACCTTTTAGCCAGGTAAATTTCTATGGCAACGAATCCTTCAAAACTAACCTGCACCTAGGCAGGCTAACTCAGGGCTAACTCCATTTCTCCTGAATGAAGTGTCTGAGCTGTGAGTTGAGGACGAATTAAATCAGATTTCCTCCTTCTCGCAAAGATTGCATCATCCTCCCCTTCATTTGAGGAAGTGTTCATTTTTTATGTGTTAAAAAAGAGTAATGTTAAAATACCGATCACATTACACATTTAATAATGACAGAATGCATTTGAAACTTAATGCACAGTAAAACTTTTGTACGGATGAAGCTTGTGCTGGAATGCGAAGCTAACTGAAGCTGGATAGCTTCAGAAAACCCTGAGTAGATCTAGCTTCCTTCGTAGTATACCCCTCTGGTTTCAATGGACTCTTTTGGCATAGAGAAACTACGTCACTGCCTACATAAGGGGAAAAAACTAATTTCGGGGACTCTCCCAAACAATCACAAGCAAGACAAGCCAGCACATCATGATTCAAAATCTAAGTGTGCCGGTAAAACCTTTGCAGTGATTTTAGTTAAGGTAGTTGATGTAATCTAGCCACTTGCGAAATGCACTCAATAAAAATAACCTCTCATCTCCATTTGATGGCTACTATTTTGTATTTTACTTTTTGTGGATAAAGTAGTGACGTAGGTAGTGACGTAGTTCCTCTCCATCCAGGCTCTGTCGTAGCCGGCCGCGACCGGGAGACCCATGGGACGGCGCGCAATTGGCCCAGCGTCGTCCAGGGTAGGGGAGGGAATGGCCGGCAGGGATGTAGCTCAGTTGGTAGAGCATGGCGTTTGCAACGCCAGGGTTGTGGGTTCGCTTCCCACGGGGGGCCAGTATGAAAAAATAAATAATGTATGCACTCATTAACTGTAAGTCCCTCTGGATAAGAGCGTCTGCTAAATGACTAAAAATGTAAAAAATGTATGCCAAAAGAGTCCATCATTTAAACCAGACCCTAGTCACTGTTTTGCCTAAGGTTGGGTTTTCGCGATTACTCCCAGATATATTATCAATCAAAAGCTGAAACTGATCAATCATCATAATGATTAGTTGACCCACCCGTCCAGGCTGAACTTGGAGAACTGGACAGTATAGCGAGGCACCACCTTGCGAGGGCGGCGGGGGGAGCGGTCACGTCTCGGAGAACGGTCCCTTGAGCGTTTACGTATGGGAGAGCGCTCTCTGGACCGCCTGCGCTCACGGTCTCTTTCACGACTGCGTTCATCCTTGGTCCTGAGGATGAGTTCAGGGCGGTCGTTACGGTTGGGGAAGCGGGGGGAGGGGTCCAGACGCCTGACGGGCTGAGGCATCATCCTCACTGGGGGCTGAAGCAGACCTCCTGAGAACACATCTGGAGGGAAAAGGGAAACGCACAAAGCGAGAAACAGACACAGACAGACAAATACATACAAACACAGACAGATATATTACAAATCATTTCTTTATTTTCTGCAAAAGTAGCAACTAAATCTAAAAGCATCAGAAAAACACAAATCGACATCATAGTGCCCCCTACCTTTGGGTGGTGGCTGTGACAGCAGGGGCGGAGGGGGGTTATGGAGGAGCGGGGCCAGGGAGGCAGCAGAGAGCTGGGCCTGGAGCAGGGGAGGAGGGGGACCCTGGGCCTGTACACTGAACGTGGTGGGGGGAGGCAGAGACTGGAGCATGTTGGGACCCGGCTTCATCATATTAGGGCCTGGAGGCTGGCTCTGGGGTGGGGTGAGGGAGAAGAGAGGTTAGCATTACCCCAGGGCTGTCCCATGAGGTATCTTATCAGAGTAAGTGTTTTATTTTTATTTCTTGTCACATATAGGCGCTTTAGTTAAAGAAATGTGCTTCATGGATATCATTATGCATAGACGACATACACCAAATGAGATTTGTGCCACTGCCAACAGGTAACCATGTGCTAAAGCAAAACAGAACTAGAGGAGTGAGGTTTGGAAGGCGTCCTTTCTTTCACCCAAACTGTTTTTTGGCAGGTGCAGTTGTGTCAATCAGGTACAGTGAATAAATGAGAAAACTACTGCCGAAGAAGAATATATTAAGTCTGCATTATCTGCAAAGACAGGACAGGTTCCGCGAAAAAACTACAAAAAGGTCAAGTTATAAAACTCTGCAAAACCCTGGAATAATCGGTGTATGACTTTCTGTGAGAAGTATGGAGAACTTTTCAGTTTCGATAGTAGTTCCTAACCTGTTTGTGAGGTGAAAAGGTGCTTATCATGTATGAAAATCATGTATTTACCATAACATTGAAGAAGAAAGGGTTAGAGAAGTGAAGAAAAGTGTGTCAAAAGTGCATTCTTTAAGATAGCCTAGAAATCCTAGTATTTGTTGATTTAATTGCTTTAATATGTCTGTAAAAATTTAAGCAAAAAACATAAAAAGAATTACCATCTCAATTGGACTCGCATGGTTAGCCTAAATGAACAATATCAAGAAATCTTATGGATTACACCTTTAAAAACGGCAAATTTCCCCTGTTGAGAGATTATCATGGATTTCACCGTTAGAGAAGCCCAAAAAATAAGTGTAAAGAGACAGATGGCATTCTTTCGTGTTTCAGAAACCATAGGCTGAGAGACCATAGGCCCCGAGATAAAATTAATTTCTAAAAGTATTCAATGCATTTTATGTGCTTTGTCCTTTGTGCTTTTTCTTGGTCCGAAACACAAATTAGCATGAAGAAGGAAAAGAGAGAGACGAGAGAGACTAGAAGAGAGAAGAGGAGGGAGAAGCACAGAGTGCGTAAAATGCCTCAGAAAGATGCAGGAATATGTATGATTTTTTTGTTGAAAAAAAAGAGCTAGAATAAGAGGCCCATAGAGGTGTTGGGGGGAGGGGGGTTACATTTTGTCTGTTGTCCATGCCGACGGAGTGCATGTCTGAGTAGCGCTGCTGCATCCCCTGGTCAGCATAGAAGCTGCTCAGCTGTGGGGGAACTGGAGGTAAGGACTGGGGCTGCTGCTGAAGCTAGGGGTGGAAATCAGACTGGTTAATAACAGACACACAACCACACGCACGGGCTGGGTTCCAATCTGATCACTTTCAAACTTCACCTCTGCACTGAGATCGGAGGGTGAATATGGCAATGGCTCCATCTATACTTCTAGTAGGCTACATGTAGGCTTACATTACATTTACATCTAAGAGTGAGTCAACCAGGGCAGACGGGAAGAGAGAGCCAATGATCATATTGGAACCAAACCCTGGAAGCATTCAAATTGAGGTGTAAGGTGTCACTAATGCCTCGATCAGAACGACTGCATCATTGCATCAATGCTGAGTAATACATTCTGCAGCCAAACGTTTTTCATTATGTAAGCCAAGATTTTTAGTGGATACGTGTGCAACAAAAGTTCAACATTCACCTTTTGCTACTATACTGAACATAAATATAAACGCAACATGTAAAGTATTGGTCCCATGTTTCATGAGCTGAAATAAAAGATCCCAGAAAATGTCCATACGCACAAAAAGCTTATTTCTCAAATGTTGTGCACAAATGTATTTAAATTCCTGTTAGTGAGCATTTCTCCTTTGCCAAGATAATCCATCCACCTGAACGGTGTGGCATATCAAGAAGCTGATTAAACAGCATGATCATTACACAGGTGCACCTTATGCTGGGGACAATACAAGGCCACTAAAATGTGCAGTTTCGTCACACAACACAATGCTACAGATGTATCAAGTTGAGGGAACGTGCAAATGGCATGCTGACTGCAGGAATGTCCACCAGAGCTGTTGCCAGAGAATGTAATGTTTATTTCTCTACCATAAGCCGCCTCCAACGTAGTTTTAGAGAATTTGGCAGTACATCCAACCAGCCTCACAACTGCAGACCACGTGTAACCACGCCAGCCCAGGACCTCCACATCCGGCTTTTTCACCTGCGGGATTGTCTGAGACCAGCCACCCGGACAGCTGATAAAACTGTGGGTTGCACAACCGAATAATTTCTGCACAAACTATCAGAAACCGTATCAGGGAAGCTCATCTGCGTGCTCGCCTTCCTCGCCAGGGTCTTGACCTGACTGCAGTTCAGCGTTGTAACCGACTTCAGTGGGCAAATGCTCACCTTCGATGGCCACTGACACGCTGGAGAAGTGTGCTCTTCACAGATGAATCCCGGTTTCAACTGTACCGGGCAGATGGCAGACGGCGTGTATGGCATCGTGTGGGCGAGCTGTTTGCTGATGCCAACGTTGTGAATAGAGTGCCCCATGGTGGAGGTGAGGTTATGGTATGGGCAGGCATAAGCTACGGACAACGAACACAATTGCTTTTTATCGTTTTCAATTTGAATGCAAAGAGACACCGTGATGAGATCCTGAGGCCCATTGTCATGCCATTCATCCGCCACCATCACCTCATGTTTCAGCATGATAATGCACGGCCCCATGTCGCAAGGATCTGTACACAATTCCTGGAACTGGAAAATGTCCCAGTTCTTCCATGGCCTACATACTCACCAGACGTATCACCCATTGAGCATGTTTGGGATGCTCTGGATCGACATGTACGACAGCGTGTTCCAGATCCCGCCAATAACCAGCAACTTCTCACTGCCATTGAAGAGCAGTGGGACAACATTCCATAGGCCACAATCAACAGCCTGATCAACTCTATGCGAAGGAGATGAGGCAATTGGTGGTCACACCAGATAATGACCGTTTTCTGATCCACGCCCCTACCTTTTTTAAAAGGTATCTGTGACCAACAGATGCATATCTGTATTCCCAGTCATATGAAATTGACTGATTTCCTTATATGAACTGTAACGCAGTAAACTCTTTGAAATTGTTCAGTGTTTTTCTGTCAAGTCTACACATACAATTTGATGGATGGATAAATCCAACGTATGCACCACACAGAACACACTGCAAATGCCTCTGCAACACAATGCTGCAAGGCAAACGCAGAGTTCAATTGGAAATGAATGTACTTCTGGTGTACCAAAATGAAATGACGCTGTCGGTCTGATCAAGGCGTAAGGCTTTGGTTTTAGCTGTTGACAGGGTCACCAGGATCATATTCAGTAGGGAAACAAAAGTTATTCAGTTTTACTTCAGGCCTGTCTATTGAATGTGACCCAGGTGTGCGTGGGGGCTAGGTGAGGCTCACCGATTGGTTGGCCAGCTGAGGTAAGGTCTGAATGCGCTGGGCGTTCCATTTGAAGGGCATGTTGGGGTTGTACACGGCCTCCACTAGGACCCTGTCACCCACCTGGGGGGTCTTCCCCTTCACCGCACTGTGGAGACATCACCCATTATTTACCCACTTGAAATTGCTTTAGAAACTGCAATATATGGAGACTTCACACTTGAAATTCAATAAAAAAATACATTACTGCTTTAGAATATAAGGTACACAAATTAGGGATGCGATCAACAAAATACAGAAAACCCATGGAAAAAAGGCAACTGGTCCGATGTCTTGTGTGGCCCAATCCGAAATGGACTCCTATACCCTATGCACGATCTGAGAGGACTTGGGCCAAAGGCAGAGACTGGACACTCACCTGAGCTGGAAGAAGACGTCCTCATCCACGAAGCCGAAGGTGTCATGCAGCTTGTTGACAACGCCGGTGAAGACTCGCTGTTTCTGGGGCTGGCTTTGCTGCTGGCTCTGCTGCTGGTGGCTGGAGCGAGGCGTGGGGTAGGACACGGTGATCTGGGCTGTCTGCTGGGGGTTGGACAGAGAGAGGCTGGTGGGGAGAGCCACGGGGGGCTAGGGAAGAGGAAAGTTATAGGTCAGTGTCCATGGGGCAACTTCATGCTACTCCTTCCTTCTGTATAAGTCCTAAATGTATGAATTGTATCAAGTCCCACTAAATTCTAAATATGTGTATCTAACAATGGAACTGTTTGAAGTGTCTATATGGAGTCTATCATCTTATTTGGAATTTAATTTAATCAAATGTCCCTTAGCGGTTCTCCTCATTTACCAAAGGTGTTGATTTTTACTCTCATTGTGGCCATATGCGTCCTGTTATTGTATTTGGCTATGAAGAAGGTAAAAAAATGAACTTGGTTTAAAAACAGAAAGGTTATAAGGTGGGGATGCCTACCGGGAATTTGTTTTCACCACTCCAGTTCTTTCAACATCCGTGCAGATAGCAGAAAAGGAGACATGGTCACGTTAGACTATTATGATGCATTCAAAATTCTAAAAATGTGACTAAATAATTCTACTCAAGACAAGCTGACTAAAGTGGCATTACTTTTGTTGAAAAGTGCATTAAATGTACAAGAGAGACAAGTTTGTTCCTAATTAGCCTACCTGTGAAAGCAGCGCTTGCTGGGGCTGGGGGAGCTGTGGAGAGAGCGATAGATAGAGGTAGAAAGAGAGAAGTAGAACAGTTACTACTGTGTGTCTGTAGAATAGAGTACATTCCATACCCCAGCACCAAGCATAAAGTGCCTTGTGATTTTACTGTGCTGCGGCTGTGAACTGTTGCTGCTTACCCCGTATAAGTCTGTATGCTGTTGATGTTGCTAAAGAGACAGGGTACACAAACACGCAGAAATAGCAATAAGTCTTTCATTGAGGCAACTACACATTTGTTGATTGATAGATATGAGTATGGCCTTTCTCAAATCAAGGCAATTCAGAGTTGTCTGTGTGAGTTGCACATCAATAATTTACCCCGTATGAGTCTGTATGTTGTTGATGTTGCTGAAGAGATGGGATACACACACGCAGAAATTGCAATAAGTATTTCATTGAGTAAATAATACATTTGTTGATTGATACATATGAGTATGGCCTTTCTCAAATCAAGGCGATTCAGAGTTGTCTGTGTGAGTTGCACATCAATAATTTACCCCGTATGAGTCTGTATGTTGTTGATGTTGCTGAAGAAACGGGGTACACACACAAATGCAGAAATTGCAATCAGTCTTTCATTGACTAAACAATACATTTGTTGATTGATGCATATCAAGTGACCAGCATTAGTGAGGTCTTTTTCAAGCTAGGTTGTACATCAATAATTTGCACCTCAAAAAAACATTTTTTTACTAGAGAATGCAGCACAGGAGGCTACTGAGGCGAGAACAGGTCATAATAATGGCTGGAACGGCGCAAATGGAATGGCATCAAACACCTGGAAACCATGTGTTTGATGTATTTGATACCATTCCACTATTCCGCTCCAGTCATTACCATAAGCCCGTTCTCCCCAATTAAGGTACCACCAACAACCTGTGGAACTAAGTATAAGACAAATACTATATAGGTTAAAGAGAACAAAAGGGAAAACTATGCTGCAGCATCTAGCCTATAACAAATCTGATTTGACAAACAGTGAGGCCATTTTCTTTTATCTAAGTCAAACCCATTTGTAAATGAAAGCCTGTGACTATGTGAGTGAGTGATCTAACTGACGTGATATGAAATGGCTGCTCTGGGTTAGAACACTCAGTGTTCTTAATGTGGGTTAAAGTTCTGGAACTCGGCCCAGTCTGACAGTTTTGCTGACGAGCTCTAATTCGTTTACAAGCCAAGCAGCAAAAACATGTATCAAACCCCCAAGCAACAGAGTACTACTCCAGATAAGACCCTGTGGCATTCTCAAAGCTTAACTGAACCAAAGTCCACCACAGAATGTCATATTACTGACTCCATTTAAGGGAAACAGAATATTTTGTATAACTAAAAAGGCAAGATATGTGCTCATTAGGAGAGATTGAAGAAATTAGGAATTCCAGATTGATCTTCATATGAACTATATGACAAACTAAACATCTTCTCCAATCATAGCCATCAGGGGCAAAACTCAAAACACATAAGATCAATAGCTTCTAAGTGAAACTTCATCCTACTCAACCTAGAACAGGGTATTTCACTTGGTGTAATGGCCATGTGTCTCACCTGATGGGGTACATTGTAGAGCTGCTGAGGAGGAGGCTGCTGAGGAGGCTGTTGTTGCTGCTGCTGCTGTTGCTGCTGCTGTTGCTGCTGTTGTTGCTGCTGTTGTTGTTGCTGCTGATACTGCTGCAAGGCCGAGTTGATTTGAGACTAAAGCAATTAGAGAGACAGGACAGAGAAACATTTTAAATGACTTGATGTTGCGGTTTATATGAGTAACATCACTTTGAAGGGAAGACCATTTACTAAACAGTTAAAGTGACTTCATACTCAACTACAGCCATGAGAAGAAAAAAGGGGTATTTTTCTCAGACGTTCACTCAGAATCTAAACAATATGTTGTTCACACTGGTCTGATGGAGGAGGGGGGTTATCAGTTGCATCAGTTCATCACTCACTCACAAATCAGAACAGGTTTTCCAACAACACAGCTCCTTCAAGTCTAGTGAGGTTTGGACGCTTACCAATCTCGGTACCACGATGGTTTGTCTGACCCAAATAATGCTCATCATTGGGAATGTTTTTTCAGTAAACAAAATCCAGAAAGTTCAAGTGAAATTAGCCATGATCAACCAATGGGGTATCGCCCTACCATTTTGGGGACTTTTGGGTTGTGTTCATTTGGCACGAAACCAAAGTTACTACCTGAGCTTATCCAATAACAACAAATATTATCATATTCTGTTAAAGAACATTTAGCTGCATTGTGCCTAACGGAACACTGCCCAGCTGACCCTAGTGTAACTCACCTGTTGCAGTGCTGCAGCGGCGGCGGCTGCAGCTTGCTGCTGCAGGGCTGCAGTCTGTTGGGATAGCTGGTAGTTGGAGGCGGACGACTGGGAGTTGAGGGAGGCTGCAGACAGGGCCGATTGCTGGGAGTACATAGAGGGAGACGCACCCAGGAGAGATGGCTGCTGCACACCTAGAGCTGCAGGGGAGAGATGGGTTTGGGAATAGAAGAATGTAGAAAGAGGATGTATGGCAAGTGAGGAATGGAGTGATAGACCGGCAGAACGAGAAACATTTAAGATAAAAGACGGGAGAGAGAGAAATAAAAAGTATAGAACTTTGAACCTTGTTGAATATCCAGTGGACCACTCTGAACCCCCTTCATCACAAACTTTGTCACTGAGATGCACAGTTTCCTTCAAACACTGTACCCTCAATCCAGGGTTACTGTTAGCCGGTAATATCCAGCTTTTGGCCTTAAAAATAAAAAAAAGGCGATAAATAAAATTGGCACCTGCCAATTTGCGAAATAATGCTTTTTAGCCTATTAATTGATGGAAATACCAGTCAATGTAAATACATTTGATTGGTCATGCTTATCGGTCCATAGGTTAATTTGCATAATTTAGTGGAATTAAATTGGCACGTGTGTACAGTATATTCGTTATGCATCTTATTTATCACACGCGCAGGCCTACAGCATACAGATACAGAGCCTTTGAGCAGAAAATCGGTCAAACGTGAGAGCTGCTGCTACAGCATCTCAAACAGCATACATAGGCAACGGAAGTCAGGCTTCATCAGCGCATCACACACCACTTTGTAATAAGCTGGAGGCAGTATGCATTTTGAAAACATTTTAATTGTTTGAAACCTGAACATTTTAATACATATTATGAGGCATGTCTTACCTTGCTTAAAAATGTGTAGCCTAGACAACTTTCTTTCATTGACCAGTGGCCAAATGATTTTCTCTGTCACATGAAACCGCTTGCATGAGCGGTGTCCTTTTGACAATGGTGTTTTCCTGCTAATTGCATTATGGAATGAACATTAGTGCATAGCCTACTGCCTTGTGTGCATTGCTGCGCTTATAATGTTAAGAAATAATAGTTTACAAACATTTTAAGATAAACGTTCTGTTGCATCAGACTCATTGCTTTCTAACTGGTTTTTTTTTTGTAGTCTAGGCCTACTGGTTGTATGAATTTGGGATCCATCGTACCACAACCGTCCCAGAGTCTGTTTGAAATAGGCTATTTCTTTCTCGACCAGCTGACCAATAAAATGGGTCAACTTTTCTACTATGGGGGATAGTAGATTGACATAGGCGATAGGTCCCCTGTAGCTCAGTTGGTAGAGCATGGCGCTTGCAACGCCAGGGTTGTGGGTTCATTTCCCACGGGGGGCCAGTATGAAAATGTATGCACTCACTAACTGTAAGTGGCTCTGGATAAGAGCGTCTGCTAAATGACTCAAATGTAAATAGGCCAGTGATTTTGCTGCTCGTTAACATGTCTTGTTGGCTGAGGAAAAGCAAATGTGGACAGTTATTCTAACATCTTCAAAGTGCACATCAGAATTTCGTAAGAAGTACCACACATCGTTGCATCCCCGACTTGCATGTTCTGTTAATCCTTAAGTCTTTAAGAGTCTAAACTGGGGGGTGGGTTCGGTTTACTAAGCTAACATATGTAATTGTTAAGATGGTCATACCAAGAATCATTTAGCTATTTGACTTAGAATTTTTGGATCCCTTAAGGTATAAACAAATAAAAAATATTTGATGAAACATAGAATTTGGCCTTACTGCTATTAGCCCATAGAAACGCATTGAATAACAGCTTCATACACGGATAAACAGATAGTCAAAAATATATATAAAAAGGAAGTTATAAGATCAGGAATATTGTAAAAGAAATTGACATTATTTAATCCCCTATTCTAGGCACTAACCTATCTCCATATATACTGTACTTCCATTCATTTTTTAAACTGGTACTGGGACTAGTCTTGTGAGGCTTGTGGGCGTCCTAGAGCAAAACAACCGACATGTTCGTGAGAGACTCACCTTTCCTTAGAGGGGGCATATTAGTGTGTAGCCCAAACTGTTCAGACACTACAGAAAGAAGTTGGCAGATCGGCTGTACCGACCTCAGACGAGTCCTGTGACGCTTGTGGGGGTCTTAGAGCAAAATGGAGAACACCATCGTGTTCGTGAGAGTCATCTTTAGTTTGTAGGCCAAACCGTTCGGACGTTACAGACGTTTTTGTGATATCTCATGATCTGACAAATACCGCTCTAGCTCTGCCACCTTTCACCGCAGATGCGGAAGGGCAACATCGGCAGATCCTGTGGATTGAGACGCAGCCCATGCAAAAAAAACAGATATTTCTAGCTTAAACTGATGGACTTTGATGGGAAATGTTTTATTATGATAATATATTTTCGAAGGGGCGCGGACATCGACTCTAGGGGGTTATCTAGGGGGTTAATATGAATTACCATAATCTAAATGTGATTTATGTCATTCTGAGCACCATGGGTGGACACCCTAATCAGGTTACGCACCCAATGCATACGGGTCCGGTGAATTTCACAAATGTCCGATAAATTAAAATGCTGCCGGTCACATGTCCGGCGTCACATTTTCTTAGTGGAAACCCTGCCTCTACCACACATTAATTTTATCCCACAGATGAGCACAGAGTATAGAAGGAAAGGCAGTCATCCATTGAAGTATCATACTCACAGTGTAGGCTGTTGAGGTCCAGGGACTGTCCTGAGTGGCTGGGCTGGGACACCCCTGTGGCAGTGAACTGAGCCGCCCACGGAGGGTTCTTCTGTCCCCCGAATTGGGCCATGAGTCACGGCTCGAGTTTAAGATTATTGACGGAACCGATTTAGGTTTATATCCTGTCAAAACAACAACCGGAAATGGGCCTGTAAATATAAGGTTTCTTCATTTGACATTTACCTTTGCTTTGCATTGAACACTAAAACACTGGCAGCTAGCAACAAAAACAAACAATACAGGAGGAGAAGATTGTTACAGATTTACTTACAGCTAATACGATACCTAGCTAGCTAAATCATATCAGCTAACATTAGCTTGGCTAAAATATCGTTAAGTTACCTCCTTGGCTAAAACGACAACAACGTTAGGCCTCCTAACAGCTGCCTCTACTAGGCGGGATAGTGAGACTAGCAACAACAGATAACAGCAGAATGAATGGGCAGGTTAGCAAAACGTTAGCTGCTGGAAATGTTGCTTTGTTGGCCAGCTAGCTATCCCTTGATGATGACTCTCAGTTTCATTACATTACACATAAAAGTCATTGGACGAAGGCGTCTTCTGTACGGGGGACTTTTTGTTAATAATTAGAAAGCCTTAGAATTCATGAATTTATACGTCCCCTGTAGCTCAGTTGGTAGAGCATGGCGCTTGCAACGCCAGGGTTGTGGGTTCGTTTCCCAGGGGGGGCCAGTATGAAAATGTATGCACTCACTAACTGTAAGTTGCTCTGGATAAGAGCGTCTGCTAAATGACTAAAAGGTAAAATGTAATGAATTTGGCATACTATTTATAGCTAGCCTCTTCAACTCTGACGCCCTCTGGTGGCATTTTCTAAACTACGCATAATATTGTATACTACTCTCATAAAGTACATTTTGGTTTCAGAACTATAAGTCTGACAAACACAAGCTTAGTACTGTTAGAAAAGTAAGAACTGTGGGAAACAATGTGATTACTACAGAGCCTGGGATCCAACAGATACAACTGATTCCCAGTTCATCCACTAGACAGCAGTAGATCACATGATGTCTCCTGGCCACTTGAAACCAGTTGCGTCTGGTTTGGTAGTGAGTCACTGTGCCAAACTGGCTCAATGGATTTTTTTAATGACCCTACCAATCAGGCCTTTCAAGATATCGAGGTGAGGCAACTTATTTTCCCATTGTAAACGAGTGAGATAAATCAACAGTGCATGTGGAGGATGCATACAAGGTACTGTGGATGGAGAAGGAAATGCATTGCTTTACAATGACAATCAGTGTGTACCCTTTTCCTACTAAATGTTTGCACTATTGGTGACTTGACCTACATTGCACACTATGAATATGCCCATAGCGCATGACTTATGGCCTTTATGGGGGGGCGGATTCTTATGACATTGCCAGCAGTAAGATTTGCGTAAAACGTTCCAAAAGACAGGGGCTGTAGCTGTCAAATGATATGTCACTTTCTATTTTGTACAGGGCCCATAACAACCGAGAGTTTAACAGCTAGCTAATACACATGCAGATATAATCTACCTGGTTAGCCTTTAACTATAAATAGCCATAGGCTAACTAACAACATGTGGCTGGGTTAGCTTGCTAACGGAGATAAATAGCTTGCTAACTAGATAGCTATAATGATGACTCGTGGGTTTTGTTATCAAAGCAACGATGACTAATGTCGCTAGCTAGTGGTGTAGTTAACGTTAGCTATAACGAGGCCTACGCAAGGCAACACACGACGCAGCCCTATAAAGGACTGATGGACAGCAAGGCTGATGGACATTCCAATTTTGCGACAATAATTGCATTCTGCAGTACGGAAAGCATCCAAAATGTAAAATGTTTATTCCATTAACAGATAGAGAAAAATATTGTCCTCACGCCTTTTACCTCTGTCGTCTGTTCATTCACCGGCGGAGATGGATCCAAAACTGTCACCGCGCATGCGTAGATCAAGGGGCGCGCACGCGTGCTACATACTTTTCTTTTTGACCACAAAATAACATGGTGGGTCAGGCAATCTGTGTACAGAGCCTTCAGAAAGGATTCATATCCCTTGACTTATTCCTCATTTTGCTGTGTTACAGCCTAAATTTAAAATTGATTCAATATTTTTTTTATACCATCTACACAAATACCCCATAATGACAAAGTGAAAACATTTTTAGAAATGTTAGCAAATTTATTGAAAATGAAATATCTCATTTACATAAGTATTCACACCCCTGAGTCAATACATCATAGTCACCTTTGCCAGCGATTACAGTCTTTCTGGGTAAGTTTCTAAGAGCTTTGCACATCTGGATTGTACAATATTTGCACATTATTATTTTTAAAATTCTTCATGCTCTGTCAAGTTGGTGGTTGATCATTGTTAGACAGCCATTTTCAAGTCTTGCCATAGATTTTCAAGCCGATTTAAGGCCAGACGGTAACTAGGAACGTTCAATGTTGTCTTGGTAAGCAAATCCAGTGTATATTTGGCCTTGAGTTTAAGTTTATTTTTTTCCTTTGTGCACAAAATTTGAGAGAAATAAGCCTTTTGTACGTAGGGGAAATTTCTGGGATCTTTTATTTCAGCTCATGAAATATGGGACCAACACTTTACATGTTGCGTTTATATATTTTTTTGTGAGGCATAAGAAAACCTCCCTTGTCTTTGTGGTTAAATCTGTGTTTGAAATTCACTGCTTGACTGAGGGACCTTACAGATCATTGTAGAGATGAGGTAGTCATTCTAAAGTAATGTTAAACACTATTATTGCATACAGTGAGTCCATGCAACATATGTGACTTGTTAAGCACATTTATACTCCTGAACTTATTTAGGCTTGCTATAACAAAGTGGTTGAATACTTACTTACTGACTCTAGAAATTTCAGCTTTTCCATTTTAATGAATTTGTAACATTTTCTAAAAACATAATTCCACTTTGACATTATGGGGTACTGTGTGTAGGCCAGTGTGTGACGCGTACTGAGTATACGAAGAGGCAGGACGCAGACATTAACAAGGTCAAGGTTTACTTAACAATGAGCAAGAGAAATAACAAAGATAGAGTAAACGACACGAAGCTTAACAATCACACACAACATCATACAGAACAGTACAGGGCTAAATAGGGGTGGTGATGAGGTGCAGGTGCGCTGGAGGTGATTAGGGTGCGTTGGGTTTCCATTCCGGTGTTGCGCTCAGACCGGTGGCTCAGTAGACCGGTGAATCAGAGCGCCGGAGGGGAGCAACGTGAGGAGACGTGACAGTACCCTCCAGCCGCTGGACGTCGCCGGCCAGGAGGACGACCCCGAGGACAAGGAGCGGTCTGGTCAAGGCGGCGACGGTGGAAGTCCCGAATTAGGTTGGGGTCCAGAACGTCCCCAGCCGGAACCCAGCTCCTCTCCTCAGGACCATACCCCTCCCAGTCCACCAGGTAATGGAGCCATCCCCCACGGAACCTGGAGTCCAGCAGGTCCCTCACCGCATACGCCGGACTCCCGTCAATTTCCAGGAGCGGAGGAGCCATACCCCAAGGGACGGCATCTGCCAGAGGACCAGGAACCACCGGCCTGAGGAGAGACACATGAAAAGTGGGTGAGACACGGTAGTGAGGAGGAAGGAGCAGCCGGTATGATACCTCATTTATCCGCTGGAGGACCTTAAACGGCCCCACAAACCGGGGGCTCAGTTTCTTGCAGGGCAGGCGGAGAGGGAGGTTTTTTGTGGACAGCCAGATACGATCCCCAGGCTGGAATACAGGGGCTTCACTGCGGTGGCGGTCGGCTTGGTCCTTCTGCCGACGAATGGCCCTCTGGAGATGGACATGGGCGGCGTCCCAGACCTGTCCGGCCCTGTGGAACCACTCGTCGACAGCGGGCGCATCGGTCTGGCTGGGTGTCCAAGGGGCCAGGGCCGGCTGGTACCCCAGGACGCACTGTAAGGGAGTGAGCCCAGTGGAGGAGTGAACGAGGGAGTTCTGGGCATATTCTGCCCAGGGAAGAAACCTCGCCCACTCCCGGTCCTGACAGTGGCAACAAAGAAACCTCCCCAGCTCCTGGTTCATGCGCTCAACCTGCCCATTCGGCTGAGGCCTATACCCGGAAGTGAGGCTGGCCGTGGCCCCGATCTTCTCCAGGAAAGCCTTCCACACTCGGGAGGTGAATTTGGGGCCACGGTCCGAGACAATGTCCTCCGGAAGTCCATAATGCCGGACGACCCGTGGGAACAGGATCTAAGCGACCTGGAGAGCAGACGGAAGACCAGTTAGTGGCAAAAAACGGCATGATTTGGAGAACCGATCTACGACCACCATGACTGTGGTGAAGCCGTCAGAACGTGGAAGGTAGGTGACAAAGTCTATGGACAGGTGTGACCAATGTCGCTGAGGCACAGGGAGAGGAACTAGTTTGCCTGCCAGGGCGTTCCGAGGTGTCTTCATTTGGGCACATACAGAACAGGAGTTGACGTAGCGGTAGACATCAGAAGCCAAGGTGGGCCACCAGTATTTTTTGGCTAGAGAATGCAGGGTGCATGTAATATCAGAGTGCCCTGCCGTAAGGGTGGTGTGCGCCCAGATCAGCAGGCGGTCACGGACACTGGTGGGTACATACACGTGCCCCAGCGGGGCGTTGGCAGGAGCTGGGTCCTCCTGAGCCGCCAGGTGGATGTCTTCGTCCACATCCCAAACGACAGGAGCAACGATGAGAGACGAGGGCAGGATAGGACCCCCCAGATCCTTCCTTTCTCCGGTATGGTGCATCCTGGAGAGTGCGTCGGCCTTCACATTCTGGGATCCTGGGCGGTAGGACAGAATGAATTGGAAGCGAGTGAGAAATTGGGCCCACCTGGCTTGATGAGAGTTCATCCGTTTCGCTGCCCGTATGTGCTCCACATTCCGGTGGTCAGTAAGAATCCGGAATGGATAGACTGCGCCCTCCAGCCAGTGTCTCCATTCCTCCAGAGCGAGGACCACCGCCAACAGCTCCCTGTCTCCAACTCCATTCCTCCAGAGCGAGGACCACCGCCAACAGCTCCCTGTCTCCAACTCCATAGTTCCTCTCTGCGGGGGTAAGCTTTTTAGAGAAAA